AACTTTAAATTATTCAAAACATGTTTTTTTATACGCTTATACACGTATACATCGTAATAACAGCTTTTCTTCTTTAATAATTTATAACCGGTCAAGTCAGTTTAAAAAAGAGTGTTTTCTTTTTTACTGCCAGTTAAGCTTAATCCCGTGTCACAAACGCCAAGTAATTCGGACGTAAAACCATGCGTTACCGTGCAAAATCAGGTTTTACCCTTATCATTAGCCTCTTGCATCTGTAATTCAACCTCATTTTGTGTGTCATTGAAGGGAAGAAGAAGCCGAACTTCAAGACTAATGAAAAATGCTGTAAGATTGATATATAATACATACTGATATCCTAAAATCTGATGGAGATCTCACAAGAAGCTAATTAAGGGTCCGAATAATTGTTTTTTTTCTTTCGGATCCTAAAAGAAACTAGTACCGTTTAGATCAATTGATTGACTAGTTAATCTTAGCCCCAAATGAGTTGGGAAGCTACCGTGATAACAACCGAAAGAATATTAAGGTAAAAACGGAGTAGTATTTGAGATTCTAAACAAGATACCTACTGGCATGTACATGTAAGAAGCCTAATTTAGCGTTCATGTAAGACATATGAAATACTTTACAGTTTCACGCAACAGGCAGAGTAAATATTGTTAAATAATCCCCCAGGAGATTATTCAACAATATTCACTGAGCTTGAAGGGAATAATTGTTTGAGTTTAATTGCTATGATGCTCTCAAATTCTATAGTCAATTCTTTTTATTTTTGAAACCATTCCATTGCAATTGTTGGGATTAACCAAACTTCCATTAGAATTTAACAGCAACACTTATTCAATCAGCAAAAACTTACATATTTTTTTGAAAAGTGTGACGCAAAACTTAAAAGCATATTTTGTGCTCTTTAAAATTGTATTTTCTTCCATTGTGTTTATCAATTCCTGCGTAACATTGACAAAATGCAAAGCAGCTAATTAGTGAAATTAGCGCCCTTGCTATAATTACCTCGAGAGAGATGATTGAGAGATATGACGCAATCTTCGACCAA